GGGAAAGTGCTTTGATAAAAGGCTTTTACCACTTTGGACTGAGGGTCGGAGCAAGACCCCCTGGGCAAAGTGACAACTGGATATGCAACCAAAAAAAGTTGCTTATTATGAATAACTCTGTTCATAGTCGAAACAAAACAAAATAAAATAAATTAAATAACAAAATTAAAAAAATCCTTCCAGTAGCACCTTAGAGACCAAGTTAGTTAGTTATTGGTATGAGCGTTGTGTGCATGCACACTTCTTCAGATACCATAGTCTTTAATGTAATTTTAATATTCAGAATACTGTTATGAAAGAGAGACTGCATTTGCATATTGGCACCAACCCATAGTTTCATATGATGTGCATGAGCAGGAATGAGTCACCACAATCCTTGAACTCACATGATCTGCTCTTCCCATGCAGTCAGGAGAGGGAGTCTGGAGCTTTCCCTTCTGCTGTGATTAATCCTAACTATGTTTAGTTTAAACAAGCCAGCTTCAGTAACTATAGTATGACAGTGACAGGATGAGAGGGACAAAGCACACAAGCCTGAGGCTCACTATGGCTCATTCCCGCTTGAGCATGTCATACTAAACTATGGTATAGCATGACATGCGACCGCAGCCAGTGAATACAATACCGTTATTTTTTTTCATTTTTCTCTTCTTTTGGGGAGAAGAAATTAATGACAACTTGAAGTGTACAAATTATATATGGTTATAAAACGGGGTCAGACTTCGAGAAGATAATTGATTGTCCATGTCTACTTGCTGTTTCAGTTTACATAAAAGGTAATGGATCTTCAAAGTTTCATTAGTGTCTCTAACAGCAGGTTAACATTTCTGTTTAAAAGAAAACCTTCCCAGAAACAGCTAATAATGGAACCAATTAAATGGATCACTTGGTCCACCTTAAGATAAATTATTCTGCTTCAATAAGCAACAATATACAACACCCACCAGTGCGATGAGTCTAACCTTTTTTACAGATGCTAGTATCTTTGCATATTTTCCAAGTAGTAGTGTTTTTCTCCCACTCATACACACTCCCATAAACACAGCAATAGTGATCAACATGGTGAGAGTGCAATCATTCACATTGTTCAACAAAGTTCAAATGCATTCAGACAGACTCAACTGCAGGGCCTTTGCCCAAAGAACTCTGGAAGCCAAATCTGTGAGAAATGACAGTTTTCACTCCTAACTCAACCCTGCATTTAATGCTTTTAAAAGTATCTCTTTACATGCAATCAAATTTTCAATGGTTTATGAAATATACTCAGAGTCGAGAGTGGATTTCATGCTCTTTATTCAGCTCATAGTGGTGAGGAGGAATGAAAGTCACCTCAAAGTATCTGCTTTATATACATTATTTACACAATGGGCTGCATGTGATTGGCTAATTCTGGACTTCTCCTGTAGGCCAATCAGGTTGTGGATTCACTTCCATCTGGAGCTGGATTGGGTGGCTCCTGCAGACCAATCATACTGCTGCATTGTTCTAGGACCAATCAGACTGCTGCATTCTGAATCCTATTGTTCTAGGACCAATCAGACTGCTGCATTTTGGATCCTATTGTTCTAGGACCAATCAGGCTGCTGCATTTCAGATCCTATTCAACTCAGTACATAACAGTTTATCATTTATGAAAATGCTAAAGCTGTGCCAAACTCCTACTTCCACTGCAACCCTTTCCTACAGACAGCTGGAAAACACACATTTTTAAAAATGTAACATGTGTCACAGCTGTGAATACAAAGAAGCACCAGCAGAAAGTGTATGAAAACATCCTAGGATTTTCTGTGTTTCGGCCCATTTTATGTTGCACCCAGGTAGACAAGTTTGCCACCAAGGGCACACTCAACAGGGAACCACAGTCAATAACTGCTCTGTGACACATTTACTGCATTCACATAATCCATTTCAAGTGTGCATTTAAAACAGATGAGTTGTGCAGCTAAAAAAATAGAAATGTGTGAAATGGCCCAAAATATAATGTTTTTCCCCCATTAGACTGGCCATGTATGAAAAAAGAAAGCAATGACCATCTTTATAAGGGAAGACAATGAATGGGGTATTTAGGAGAAAATAAAGATTCCTGCACAAAGGGATATCAAAACAATGGGGCCTAAATTGGAATAGCCAAACCAAGTGCCATGCGTCATGACTGTTCAAGATTATCACTCAGAGTAAGGATTGATTTGAAGACCTTCTTCAAAAAAAGTATTTGTGTTTGCACTATGGCAATGAAAATTGTAAGTTACAAAACAGATATACCTAGAAAAACACGCTACAACGAGACATAACTGCAATGCATAACTTTAATTCCTGGAATGGTGTACAATCCTAAATGATTGACATGCTGGCTAGACCAGGTGACGGAAGCCAATGGGTCTCAAACCCTGAGTGAGTTGGGGATTTTCCCTGCATGCAAATAAGGGTTCAAGCAGAATGAGCAGATTGAGACCAAGAGAGGGTCCAACAGTCAAGAAGGCGGTTTCTGCATATGCTGTAGAGGGAAGTGAAGGACAGATGAAGCTCATCAATCTGGAGAAGTAGCCCATCTAGGAGAAGGAACACTCTAAACCTGCACTGCCTTTTGAGATATCTTTGGGAGAAGAAAAGCCTAAGGTGTAACCCCTACACAAATCCAGAGTGGAGTCCCTAAGACGGTGGGGTGCCAAACAGATTATTCTGCTTCTCTTTGGAGAACATCAGCAAGACGGGGGGGGAGGGCTTGTCGTCTGTGCAGCCCAGGATCTCCATGCACACTGCCCAGGCTTGCATCCCGTGGAGGTCACTTCCATGCAGAGGTTTGATTTCACCCCCAGAGGTGCACTCCATTGTCTCTTGAGGCAGATGGATTCCAACAACATATAAATAGCATGTTATTTGGTTGACATGCCAGTCAAATATTTTCAGCTGACCACTTATTATTTGACCATAATCAAATACTGTGAAATATTCCAAAAATGGAATGGAATTGTGTAGATGGTAACCTCTGTCTCTCTCTCTCTCTCACTCACTCTCTCTTCTTTCTTTCTTTCCTGTAATGATGGTGTAATTTGCAAGGGCAGAAGCCATGGGCAAATATAGCAGCAAAGCAAAGCTTCTCCTATAGCTGCAAACAAACAACCATCAATGGTAAAAGACACTGCCTAGTGAGAAGATGTCCGACTAAGATCAGGGAGAACAAGGTTCGTGCCCACTTTCCACCCTGAAGCTCGCTAAGTGGTGCGGGGCCAGTCACACACACACACACACACACAGGCTAACCTGCATCAGGTTGTTGTGTGGATAAAATGGGGGGAAGGGGAACCCCCTTCAGGTCTCGGTAGAACAGAATAAAAATGCAATAAAATATACAATTCATTACATTTTTAGAATTAATGTAATTATTTCACAATAGCAGCTGTGGTTATTTGTGTGGTTAATTTGCAGTTAGTGCCAGACCAGCATATAATCTTATTTCTTGCCATGATGTTGATACTTTAAAAACACATGATCAGACAAATGTTTTTGAAGAGGTCAAACACCCAGCCTTCGCCACTTATATTGGTAACATATCTACAAGCCACTTCTAAATCTAGCATTTTCACGTAAGATTGCACCAAGTTACTTCCAGAATGAAAACTGGATGGTTGAAAGGGCCATATTCATAGATCTTGGGTTAATTAAGTATGAAACCTTCACTCTGAGGAACAAACACAAGAGTGTAGGAAATGGCCTTCATTCTTCAGAACAGAAGCCAGCTAGTAATTGATGTTTTATAGGAAGAAATGAATTCTCAGGGTGAATAATTTACCAAGTAGTAGCCGTGATAGTCTGTTTCTGTTGCAGAAAACACAACAAGGAGTCTTGAGGCACCTTAAAGATTAACAAATTTATTTTGTGGACCAGAGTCCACTACTAGTTTCTTGAACTGGAATAAAACTAGTTCACTGTGATCAGCCCACCAACCCTAAGTCCATACTACGCAAACTATCTGTGTACTTAAATAAGAAAATTCCTATATTTCTCCTGTGCAAAGTTTTAGGAACATGCATTCTGTAGCTCATTCTTTTCCAGTATTTCCCACTAAAAATTGAAATAGAGCACAACATTTCCTTCCTCACCTTCCCCCCTGGCAACCTTATTTACTAGGGGTACTCGAAAAATGAAATCTTAATATTCCATTTTTCGTCCAATTAAATAATGGCATCAGAACTACAGTACAACTCAGAGGCCATGCATTATTCCATATTGGTTCTCAAAACACTAAAAATGGGACCTATAAAACTCAAATGAGCAATTACATGCTATGTTTCAAAACTTGGAGTGCTTTTCACCAGCTACGACATTTATATCAAACACAGTTTACCAACACAGCAGGATATTCTACTCTTCCTATAAAGTCACATCTTTCAGAGGGTTGTGGGAGTAGCAAACTAATCTAAAACCTAGTGCACCAAGTTTTGAAGCCTTCAAAAATGAACAGAGGCTTGAATTCCTTTCTTCATTTTCTGTAGCATTTGGATTTCTTATATACCTTAGTAAACTATTCTTAGGGAAGGTTATTGCAAAATTATGGATGACCTGACATGCAGAGTCTACAAGGATCTACTGAGTAGTCACAAATGGAAATATGCATATACATACTGTTGGTCTTCATGCACGTTTATCCTGCAGCACAATATTAAAATAAGTGGTAACTGAAGAGATTTGGGGAAAAAAGTTTTAAGATCAACAACTCTTCTTTTTCTAGCATTCTTCATTACTAAAACTTTACCACCAAATGGGGAAATCTTTAATAATTTTTTTTGTAACCGATTACATTCCCATAAAACATACTGAAGGATCTATTTTGCACACAATTCAAATTATTGTGCAATGAAAAATTGACTGTCACGAAGGAGTTAATATTTTCAAAGTATCTATACTTTTGAAATATTAAGACATAACCCAAGGCTGGCCTACTTCACTTTCTGGCAGATTCTTAAATTTATGATCAAGGAGAATATTGAACTAAGTCTTACCCATTTTTGAAGTACAAGACATGGGCTCTCTGAAGTCCTGTTTCTAAAAAATATCCAAGTTCTTGTTCATGTGCCGCAGGCCCTGGCTTAGGGCTTCTGTTCTGTATATTGGCCATGATTACCTGGGTGATCACACAATGGAATAAATCGAAATTACCCAAGTTACTACCTTTCTCCCAAGTCAACTTACACACACAGTATTGATCTTCATACGTTCCTTTTATTCATCTCAATGTCTATTTCCTGTTCCATATGTGACAATAGTGGTGGGTGCCCAAGAGAGGCTCTCACACTCCGTTCATTGCGCAACTGCAACACAACAGTCCTGGTGTGCTGCCAGTAGGTTTTACTCCACAGCACAGGAGTTGCTGCCACCAACCTCCCACTAACTCTTGCATCCCCAGATGGGAGGGAACCTGGGAGGCACTAAAGAAATCACTTTTTTAAAGGTTCTGAGCCACTGTCCCAGCACTTCTTCGTTCAACCTACACCTTTGGGGCTTACTGTAGAGGCAGCTCACACTCTCTGAGTCTTTCCCAAGCTCAGAAGAGTGTGCTGCGTCATTACAACTCCAATCTAAACCTCTACTGGGCCTGAATATCAGTAGAGTATGTGGGGATTTAAAAAACCCTGAGGTTTGCAACCACACTCTCATCCGAGTCGGCCACGACTACCTAGATTAGTCACGCTACAGGAAGGTCGCCTTGGCCAAAACGAGTGACCCGCACCCAGAGTCACCATGACTGGACCTAATGGTCAGTGGGTCGCCTTTACTTTAACCTGAAACCACTCCAGATATTCTGGACTCCCAACAGCATGGGTGCAGCCCCCTCCCCCCCCCGATCGAGTAAAACAATGTCCACTCACCTCCTCACACGGTTTGCGACACCGCGTGGATTACCTGGCCAGGTGCCACCCACCTGGTTACAGGGTGGCCATCGCCCTGCCCCCATCTTGGCAGGACAATGGGCTGCCGGCTGGGGGTGGGGCAAGGGCCAAGAAAAGGCTGATGCTGTTCGGCCCAGACTCACTTGCTCTTCTTCCTGGAAGAACTCCAGATATTTTGGACTCCCAACAGCTTAGGTGCAGCTGCCCCCCAAGTAAAACAATAGAAATACTTAACCAACTGACCAATCACGTCAGTTATGCCCCTCCTAACGAAGTCCTGTCCCCACAACAAAAATCCTGGCTACTCCCATGCCCAACAGCCCCAGCCAGCGCAGCTGATGGAAGTTGTAGCCCTAAACATCTGGTTGGCAAAGGCTAATCTAAACTGCTATAGCACTCAAAGCTACTTCCATGCCCATCCTGTTCTCCCTTGCCTTTAACTGCATTTTATGTTAATGTGATTCCATTTAATGGCCCAATTTGCTGCTTTCATCAATTTTTCACTTCCTGGTCCCACTGTCCTGTTTTTATTTTATGATTTCTGTAACTGTTGCTTTCTTACTCTATTTTAGTGTTTTATACCTAACTTTGAGGCTAGCAAAATGTTATAAACAAAGATAGCAAGAACCCAAGTTGCTTAAACAAGCAGTAAACAGCTGTTGAGACCACTGAGGAAAGAATGATTAAAAAGTTCTTTCGGATGATTTTTATGTTTTAAAAACCAGATAAACTCCAGTACATTCCTATGAAGTCAATTTAACAGGTTGGGAAAATGAAACACAAGGTCATAAATAAAAGCCAGGAGTCTGCATATACTTCAGGACTACAAATTCTGTGTTATAGTTTAAGATTACACAACCAATAAGCCACTCAGGCATGCCAGCTTTCATTAAGAACAAAGCTGCAACACATTTTCCACCACACACTACTGGTACATTTTTGGTGAAAGATTCTTTTTACCACGTGAACCCTTAGGAGTTTTCCTGTGAGTTACGCAAGCCACACTGTCATAACCTTGAGACAGTGATAAAAAGTCACAGCATTCTGAACAAAAAGTGCTGAACAGCACATGATGTTGGATTATTTTCAGCTGGAATGTGTAAAGAAATGAGCCATCAATAGGAGCTCAGTTCCAGCAAATAATGAGATATCCTATTCTGGCATGTAGCCAGATTTATTAAAATAATGCACACAGGGGTCAAGGAATGAGTTATTTAATCTTCAGTAAATGTCTCCAAATAGTGAATTAGGCATTAAAGCTGTAAATTAATGCTTTACTTAAAGAAACAAGAGGTGCTCTATTTTAGATGGCACACAAGTTTCTGGAAATTTCAGGAGAAATTAAAGTGCAGAATTGCATTGCTGATCACAATATGCTACTGATATTTTTTTTAAATCAAATTCATGCATAAATCAAAACTGGCATGCTCTGAGCATCTCACCCAGGTCTTTCTCTTTTCACTAATACCTGGAATGCAAAAGCCAGGACAGATTGAAATCTTCAAAGTAACCTTTTGAATTTATGGCCAAGGTAGGTTTTTTAATCAAGATCAGTACCATACTGAAGCATACCAACACTGCTACTTTTCCCTGAGGTGGTTCAGGAATCACAAGAAACTACTGAGCTACAGCCCTTCTCAATGTGAATATGTCTTATTAAACAAGAAAGCTTAATAGCCTATGGTTTGAAGCTGGTTTGCATAGAAACGAACCATGGTTCGTTGTAAACCGGGGTCTCAGTTTCTTATGTAACACCAAGCAGACATTCTCCCAGCAATGCAGAAGGCCAAGGGGGTATGTCTAATGCTTTGTTTAAGTGCATAGAAACCCATCCACACAGCACAAAACCATAATTTGTCATTATATGCTAATGTGACATGTGTGAAGGAACATATTCTTAGCACAAGTGTTGGCCTAATGAACGATCCAGTCCTTTCCAGCTCTATAGTCCTCTTTCACAAACCAAAGTATGTACATGAATTTCTACAGTTAAAACTAGTCCAAGTAAGTAAACATAAATTTAGTTTTTCGATCTTTAGGTTTCATGAATAAACATGATGGCCGATACTGCCCTAAGTTATATAAAAATGATGTTAATAGCATTTTATACCAGTGAATATGTGCAATGTGCTTTATATGTATTTTCTGCAATCCTTATGAGAGAGAGAGGCAGTTGACTTTCCTAAGACTGTAAATCCATGCATACTTATCTGGGAGTATGGTGCGGTTTTGTGGTTAGAGCAGGCATAGGCAAACTTGGCCCTCCAGATATTTTGGGACTACAACTCCCATCATCCCTAGCTAACAGGACCAGTGGTCAGGGATGATGGGAGTTGTAGTCCCAAAACATCTAGAGGGCCAAGTTTGCCTATGCCTGGGTTAGAGTGTTGGACTCTGGGAGTCTAGGGTTCAAATCCCTACTCAGCCATGAAACTCATTTGGTGACCTTTAGCCGGTTACTGGTTTTCAGTCTAACCTATCTCACAGGGCTGTGATGGTGGCTGTTATTATAATTCCTTACCTGCCCTTCAACCTAAGGTGGCAGGGTTGGTTACAACAATAAAAACACAATGTTAAAAACAGTTTAGAACAACGTACAATTTAATTAAAAGGGGAGGGGGAGAATCATGCATATCACCTTGAGCTTACCTTGAAGAGGACTGCACTAAGCATTATGTCCTACTATGGAATAAATCACATCCAATATTTCAATTGAACTAGATACTCCATCTTACCCTTTCTATCTCCTGGAGGTACAGAAGGGCTATATCCCCAGCCTTCTCATAGCATATAATAATTTCTTGTTCACGATCTGCATGGAGGTTACTTGTTGAAGAGGAAATTGGCAACTTTTCTAGACAAAGACCTAAAAATAAAAGATATTTCAATGAAAATAAAATAATCAGGGGCTAAGGCAGTCTGCTTTCACTGGCCAAGCAGAGAAACCAATACAATAGTTAATTGTGCCGTAGTGTCCTTGTAAACTGCTGTACCTAACAGAAAAACCAGGGGTATATCTGATTTGAGAAAATCCATGGATAAAGCAAAGCATGTCTTCCCCCCGCCGCCACCTTTTTCCAGACTGTGGAAGACCTGCTGTTTGGAAAACTAAATTAACTTCTGTGCATGTAGTTTATGACTACATACGTAACAGTATCCATTATATATTTTGGAAGGTGGTTTCTCTGTTCACTATGCATTTGGACACCTCTAAGGAAACCCTTACAAAATTTTGCATGATGGTTCCTGAGATCGAGGAGCAGGTTTTTGTCTATGTTCAGGTGGTGGTCTCTACCTTTCAAAACTGACCTGATTTTTTGCTTTCTTAGAATTCCGAAGCAATGCTAGGTGCAAGGCTGCTAGTAGGTACGTTTGTTCTGATAGAGGTAAATTATTCTATACTTACTGAATTCAGGGAGGAAGATACAACACTGGAGAAGGCAGTACTGGGCTTAGTAAACAACAAACTGTAAAACTGAATTCGTTACTCTTTATTTATTGAATAAAAGAAGGCTTCAGTGCTTAATAGGCTAACATTTGTTTCTGGTAATAAAATAAGCGTTTTTAAATCTATCATAGCAGCGCTAAGAGGTAAGAAATTTAAAATGATGGGAAACTCAGTAACACTTGTTCTCATCGTATTTGGACAGGAAAGTGAAGTGGAGTAAAAGGCCAACGGCCTCTTAAGGCCAAGAGACAGATGGACGGAGGTTTCTCCAAGTGTGCAATCATCATGGTTTACAGGCAACAGTGGAAAGGCTGGAGGGGAGAGCACTTAATGTGTGACGTAGGTCTCTAGACAGCTCCTAGGAGCAACACAAGTGAAGAGAGCTGTCCTCACCCTATCTGACTGGTGCCAAGCTATCTCTGGGCATCAATCCATACCTGTGGTACCCAGACGCATTAGGGAAGCGGCTGTCAATTAACAATGCCCTATTTGACAATATTTTGGTTCCCTGTGACCCCTTATTAAGGAGCAAGTCTTCCCAGAAACCTCCCTTTTGCTAGCATGTCACTGCCAATACCTCATTTTGCTTGTTGCAAGTACAGTTGTACCTTGGAAGTCGAACGGAATCCATTCCAGAAGTCCATTCGACTTCCAAAGCGTTCGACTTCCAAAGCGCGGCATCTGATTGGCTGCAGGAAGCTCCTGCAGCCAATCGGAAGGCATGGAAGCCCCTTTGGACGTTCGGCTTTCAAAAGAACATTCAAAAACCGGAACAGTCACTTCCAGGTTTGGATCATTCGGGAGCCAAAACGTTTGAGAATTAGGCTGTTCAAAAACCAAGGTCTGACTGTATAAGGGAGAGTAGGTTTTCAAAACAACTTTGCAACGTTAACTTGTCTGCAAAAATCTACTCATTTCACTCAAGCCAAACAATCCTTTCGTAAGGTGACTTTTTCCTTAATCTTTTTCCTAGATCAGAGACATTTTTAAAAGCGTTAAAATTAATTTTAACATCTACCCACCCCTTCAAACTTGAATTCTGTTATATAGAAAGCCTATCAAGTATCCTACACTCCTACCATGCTAGGCAGCAAAATCTCTTCACTGCTATATGACTAGCAGTTGGACTGAACTGTGCAGTGCATGCAAATGCTCAGATTAATTTTAGACATTATTTAGAATCAGTTGTCAATGCTGCCACTGAGTCTGCTCTCTCTGAAGAAAAACAAACCACATAGATGGCAAATGTTTGCTCTTCCAGACAAAAGAAGCAATTCCATATGCATCAAGGCATGAAAAATTCTATACCCCAATGCACAGAATCTGCTGTGTTCTCAAAACAATGACCCAGCTTTCTGTTATGCACGCACACTGCAGAACACATCTTGACGCTGGGGCAACACTGCCACCTATAGAAACTACATCAGTATTGCACAGGGGGAAACGACCTAAACCTATCATTGCCCGTTTTTAACTTCTAGATGCTGTTCATAATGATAAAGTACGTCAGAATGAATATAGAAGGAAGATACTTTTGTAGAAGGGAACATCAAGACATATTCCAAAAAGGAGTTATCTGAAATCAACATCCCTGACAGGATGGCTGTAGGAAGCCTTGAAAACGTACAATTTTCAACTCAATGTTTTTGCTGGGGATCTGGGGTATATTCCAAAATCACAGATGAAGGTTTGATTAGACAACCTACCCAGCCAGATGGGTGTGGTATAAATAATAATTATTATTATTATTATTATTATTATTATTATTATTATTATTATTATTATTACTACTACTACTACTACTACTACTACTATTCAGGGCTGCCTGAATTTGAGTTCCTTTGCTGAAATAAAAGCATGTATCTAATTCAATGAGTTTTCAGCTTGTAGTTTTAGTGAACTTAAACTAAATTAAGCATAACGTTCCTCAAAAGTATTTCTGATAACATGATCAAAATAACTGCTTATAAATGCCATCTACTTGCGTGAATAGTGTAAAGTCGGAGCCACAGAGATGGAAAAACCAAAAATTGCAATGTACCAGTTTGGGGGAAGAGAAGGTGTGATCTGGTGCATATCTATGGCTCCAAGATGATGATCACACAAGTCACAGCTTGCTTGCTTGTTGGAACCAACAGTGGTGCCTTTTGAATTAACAGGTTAACACTGAGAGTGGGACATACTTTGACCAAGCTGTGTATGCATAAATCTGAATTACTAGTTTTCTTATCTTTGCTTCTTGCAAAGAATCATGCTTCTTCCTATGCAGTCAAAATGTTAACAGAAACAAGCATCATCAAGTTTCAATTTGGTCACATGTGCAATGTATTTTATTTGAAGGGGACGCGGGAGAAAAATCACGGAAGAACTGAAAGTCATCTTACCTTTGGTAGAATATGCTTCGGCTATCATCCTCAGCCGATAAGGAGGTACAGCTACTAGCTGCAAGCCATCGAGACCCACTCTGGCATATATGTTAAGGGCTTCTTTGTAATCACCTTCCATATAGTTGGATTTGGCCATAACCAAGTTGGCTTCTTGTAAGAACTCTGGCTGGAGGAAAGAAATTGCATATATTTACTCCAAGAAAACACAGCATTATCTGCATTCTTACCTTGTCCAAACACTCTATCTAGCATTGTGTATAGTTTTATATTCTAAAGATGAGGAATCGTTGCAACTGAAAACACAGGAAATAATTACACTCGTGAAATTTATTTTTAACACAGTCGCAAAAACATCCTGGATAACATTTCACCTTGCAGCAAAAATGCAGCTGTGAAAACTGCATAACCAAAATAAAAATACCAAGCAAGTGGAAGAAAAATGAACTAATAAGCTTTTCCCCTAAATGAATAGTTGCTACCATTAACTTTACTATTTCAAAATACCAGCTAAATAGCACTTTTATGCCCTGTTCCCAGCTCCTTTCTGCACAGCACAGCCCTTTATCTGCATAGCCCCATCTTGGGTTTTATTCCTTTGTCCATTAGTGTGCCACAACACTGGGGGTGGGTGGGGGAATGCTGGGAATTTGCTGTTAGATTGCTGGATGAAACTGTAAGGATGAAACTGTAATAAAATTTAACAAATGACCATTAAAGGTAAAGGGACCCCTGACCGTTAGGTCCAGTCGCGGACGAGTCTGGGGTTGTGGCGCTCATCTCGCTTTATTGGCCAAGGGAGCTGGCGTTTGTCCACAGACAGCTTCCAGGTCATTGGCCAGCATGACTAACCGCTTCTGGCAAACCAGAGCAGCGCACGGAAACACTGTTTACCTTCCTGCCGGAGTGGTACCTATTTATCTACTTGCACTTTGGCGTGCTTTCAAACTGCTAGGTTGGCAGGAACAGGGACTGGGCAACGGGAGCGGGGATTTGAACCGCCGACCTTCCGATCAGCAAGCCCAAGAGGCTCAGTGATTTGGACCACAGCGCCACCTGCGTCCATTATTGGGCACCAAATACCTACTGTAAATAATTCTAAAGCGAAATGAAGCCTGATGGGCAGAGCCATCATCATGATTGCTCCCTCTCCGTCCTCAGACAGCCCAAAAAGGAGCTCCTGGCAATGAACTGAGCCAGCCAACAGGTGGAGCTCAATTCTTGTAGCAAATACAACAATACACGAGTGAGAGCACACAACTGAGCCTATCAGATGACATAGGCAGCAAGAAAGCCTACTTTGCTGCATCATCAGAGAACCCCCCAGCAGAGCCTTCTTGAGTGGTGAATGGGCTACTGAAGTCCAGGCAGAAACAGCCAGTCACCCAATAGCCTTCGGTGATAGATTTGTAAAGCCCCTTGAGGTGTCAGGTTCATATGCATTTGGAACTCAACGCCACAATTGCTGCCAGTCCAGCGGAAGTTACTCAATCACCTTTTTGTCATATTTTGTGGAATCGGTTTCTTATAGTAACCCAACGATGTGGTCAGGGTGCTTGCAGGGGTCAGGCAAGCCATGCACTCTCTTGATCCTTGCACAACATGGCGGGTGAGATTCAGTAGAAAGGGACAGACCATGTGGGTCCAGGAAGTGGTTAATGCCTCATAATGTTATGCGGTGGGTTAACAGAAAGTTTGTGCTTTAAGACATTTTAAGGATTGTGTACACTATTCGGAGCTCCCAACTGGGAACAAGGGAAGTATGGAAATAAGAATATAGAAAATGTGTCCACCTCGCAAAATCCAAACACAGCAATGGAAAAATATTTCCCAAACCTGATTCCAAAAGCCTGATGCAGACTTTATATGTTAACTCAAAAATTCCCAGATACTGTTTTAGAAGTGGCAAGTACCTTTAGGTTTCCTCGGTCAAGCGCTGCAGTGAGGTGCTTCCTGACTTCAATTAACTTTGGCCGGGGACCACAGGGGCTCACGCCCTGCTTAAGAGGGTTCTCCTTCAGAAAAAGTTCCAGCTTGGATTCGCCAAGGAGGAGCTCTGCCATGTCATCTATGGAGAGAGACGAGATCATTAAGCAGATCAATGGTCTGCACAAGCTGCTAACACCAGACACTGATCATAAGAGGACGCAGAAAGCCTACAGCCATGTTTGTGGAACACACGGCAGCAGAAATGATTTTCAAGAGAGTAAAAAATAAATAAAAAATGCTTTCATTCCCATAGCTTCTCTTGCAGCACAAAACACTTCTTTGAACAGAGTTCTTGACTCATAGTCCAAAAGGAATGTTGCGTGTTATGTATGTGCAGTGGTAACCCACGAGCCCTTATAGAACAGGAAAAGATTATTTATTAATTCGTTAGTTAAATGTGGATACTGCCCTATACCTGCAGGTCTCAGGGTGGTTCACAGGATAAAATCATGATATAAAAACACAGAATACATAATCAAAATGAAAACAACAACAACAACCCAATAACCCCTACACACACACATTTTAAAAGGGCATTGAATGTCAGTCAACCAAAGGCCTGGTTAAAGAGGTACGTTTTTGCCTGGTGCAAAACTAGATGGAACTAGATGGAGAGCTCAAGGGGAGAGGTGACAATTAACGTGCTGTTTCTCAACTCCAAATTGCCTCTTCCCAAGCGTCTACCCAAACATTCAGAGAATTTCATGGTTTTTTCCCTGCAGTGAAAAACGTGGCTTTGGGGGGGGGGAGGCACTGCAACAGGGACACAGCAAGAGGGAAAATGCCACTCTCCCTTCTCTGCTCTTGTGTCTCTCCCCTAGGAGTGGCTTTTCCTGTTCCTTAAAAAGGATGTCAGGATATCAGTAGTTCTATATTTAATGCGCCATTTGGACTGAAGAAACCTTGTAAAATGCATTTTCATGGGCGAGGAGGGTCGTGCCCTTACTTCAGTTCTCTTCTTCCCTTCTAACTTCATATATCTTCTACACTTTTTTACCCGCCCATCAACTGCCAAGTTACAACCGTGTACTTTTGCAGCAGAGGACCGCACAACACTGTGACCAACAGCTTGCACAGCCCATATTGATTTAATGTATTTAGGCTCCTTTAAAAAATTCCACAGAAAAGCATTGATACCTGAATTTGGTTGCCCTCCTCCTCATGGTTTTCCGCACAGTATTGCATCTATTAGATAATGAGCCTTTGGGCAGGTATTGTCTTATCCTTTAAAATCTCTGCATTGCATTTAAGCAAATTTTGGATGCTTTATACAGTGACACATAATTGCTGTACAACAACTTTCAGAATTAGGCATGCATAACAGAATTAGTTATGTATGCAAAATAGAATAGGGCATGCATAACTATATGTATGTCAAATCTGCTTGCTATACCAGTAGCATTGTTCTAAGTATATTGGTTCTAGGGGTTTTAAGATTCTAGACAGAAAAAAACTCAGAAATGAATTTTATTCGAGTCATCTTCGACCAGCATACAAACAATCTTGGTTAACTGTCTGTAACCACACACAGGTGACAGACACTTTGAGAACTTCAACTGTCTACTGTGTGAACATTCATTTAATGAAAACTGTAATACCAGAAAGATTTATGCCCATGTCTACTTGCCAGGAATCTAGGAGAGGCACATTCAGCAAACTCCTAACTGATTTGTGGGTAAACAAAACCGTAAATCCATCTTGTTAACAGTGTGCATCATAGCCCTAAGACATTCTGCTATGCAATAATTACCAAAGTAACGGGAACTTCTGTTCATATATTACTGAAGGAAGGAGTGTTCTACAACTTTTGTAAACATAGTTGACATCTCACTCTGGCCCATAAGCCATAGTTATAATTTCTAATAACTGCTTTGCCCAAGCAGAAATTATTAGCATGAAGAACGCGATGTTCGGCTGTAAGAATGAGTTGGGGAGCTACTGGCATAAGCTTGGAAATCAATCATTCCAATAGTTAGGGCCCCAAGAGCCATAGCTAAGTGTAAATTTAATCTAACAGCTGCTTCTCCTTTGCAAAGGGCCTTCTGGAGGGAGGATTTGCAGTGGTTGGAGGCAGGAGGCCTGATCCTGCTAGCCCATTTGTCCATTGAATTCACTTCTCTACAAATGCCCTGACCTATATTTACTCTGCAAACAGGTGCCTTATCCAAAGGAGAAAAGCAATTGGGAGGGCAGTTTCAGGCAAAAGGATTGATTCCCCCACTAGTAGTGGGCCACAACAAAAGTCAAGCTATCATTACATGCAGCTACAGTTGTAAATGTTTACTTTGGACCCTAGACAGTTTGAAAAGCCATTTCCACTTTGAGACAAAAGGAACTGATTTGCCTTACTAACTCTTAGCATTTCTAGGTTGTTGTTTATTAAGTCTACATTCCAGGCTGTGCACAGCCAATAGCTTTATAGAGATTTAGAGGAAGATTGTAGAGCCGTCTTTCCATATTTCTGTGGCCTCTGGTCAATCCTGTTTTGCACTCCAAACTGCACCCTAGTAAAGCTGAGCTAAGCCCCATGACAACAAAGCAGGGCTGTTGCAAGAAATATGATTGTGGCCTATTAAATAATACTTTTAATGACCAATTCGCTCCCCTACAAAAATATATATATAAATCCCTGTATCATTTTGTAACTGTTTGAGGCCGAGCTGAACTACAGTCATACCTCGGAAGTCGAATGGAATCCGTTTCAGAAGGCCGTTCGACTTCCAAAACTTTCAGAAACCAAGGTGCGGCTTCCGATTGGCTGCAGGAAGCGCCTGCAGCCAATCGGAAGCCACGGAACCCATGTCGGATGTTCGGGTTCCAAAGAACGTTCACAAACTGCAACACTCACTTCCGGGTTTGCGGCATTCAGGAGCCAAAATGTTTGACTTGCAAGGCGTTCGACTTTCAAGGTTCAAATATATTTGTATCTGCCATTAAAATTTCCCCTCCTTTCAGCACTAATTAGATAAGCAAAGGTGCAAAAATTATCACAATGTGCCTTCCACCTCAAGCCCCATTCAAAGAGAGGGTAACGCTTCTAGCTTTGACTCTGAGTTGACTTTGTGATGTCATTTGAATGAATCTGACTGGCTAGCAGCATGATGTCATTGCACTTGCAACGTAATCCTCAATTGGGTGGGATAATGTAAGTAGAAGAAATCAAAGCCCAAGGAAAAGTAAAGAGATGAAACACTGGGACTATGAACAGGATGGAAATAAAGTAACTTTGGGAGGTTTTCAGCACTTGGCATTATTCATACTAGATCAGTGGTTCCCAATTGGTAGTCTGTGGACCCCAGGGAGTCCAAAAAACGGAATCCGCAGTACTGAGCTATTTGGGAACTACTGTACTAGATGATAAACTGCAAGTACCTAAAAGTAACCAATAGAGTAAGACCATTAATAACATGGAACAGCCAATGAAACTTGTTTCATGTGAACATGGTATAAAGGCCATTATTAGACACCACCTTACCATATACTGGACGCTCAAAACACCAAAAAGAATCTTCAAAGCAGTGATTGCCAAAGAGTAAAGTCAAGAATTAATGAGTCGGGGAAAACAGCGGCTAGTTGTTATAGGGCATGAAGTTAAAGACTGACAAAATGTCTATCAAGGTTTCATACTTTACTTAACTTTTAAAAAAAATAGTTCTTAACCCACTGCTGATTTTGAATAGCTTGGAAGTGGCCAATTTCCTTGTATACTGAATTAGATAACCAGAAAAATCCGCAATCAAATATTTATAGAACAGCATAAGGAGTCGATTGTTTAGTTGCACAAGAAAGCCAGCATGTACAGAAGGCTACCAATACTGATTGCATCACTTGCGAAGGTTAACAAATTGCCACGTCTCAAGCTTTAGCACTGCTCAAAAAATGCATGTGGCATTAACAGGGGGAAATACGTCTATACCAGCAGTGGCATTTTCTCCCTACATACTACATGACTACTTTATATGGAAACCACATTGCTGTCCCCTGCCTTCCTGGTCAAGTGAGGTTTCCTGACACTGCATACTCTGAAGAGCAGCAAAAACACTCTGAGAAGACAACAGCAATGAGGAAAACAAGTCCTGTAACAGTCTTAAGTAGAGAAAAACAGGATATCTTCAACACCAAAGAATGGCTATACTAGAGAAATTGCAGTTCACTCTAAGGGGGAGGCATGGCTGGAAACTGAAGTAAGCAATTTGCACCAGTGCTCCAGTGCATAGGTGTTATTGAACAACTGCCTGCAATTCTGATTACTTTAATATAATTGAACCAGAGAGAGGCAGGGTCAAGAAAACAGAACAAATCCATGTTTTTATCATGCACAAAAAAACACAACCACTTTAGGGCAGTCTACTTATGAGATTAGTTGCTAAGAGATCTGCATAACTGCTTCATAATGCTATTTAGAAAAAGAAACAGGAATATCACAGAAGGTTATGGCAACAGCTAAGCAGCAAAGGAAGGAAATTCTTACCGATTTTGGTTCCTGGTATATAAGAACTACACAACATTAAGGTGAATGCTGCTGCTCATATCCCTAAAATACTGAAAAAAGATCTTGATTTGTATAATTATCAAGAAACAATAGATTTCAATAGCCTTGACAATAGATTTTAGGGCTGTTCAGCAATGTCCTGCAGTGGGGGGGGGGCGGTATGGGGGGAGAGAGAGACATACAGACAGACAGACAGACAAGGGAGTACAGGGGTTTGCCAATTTTGCACCTGCAGATTCACATGTGCCCATAGTGTTCCCTGCCCCTTCTGAAATTAGGACTTTAAATAAGCATTTTATTGTAGTTAATAGAACAGTTTGCAGTGTGTATGGCGCCTAACATACTTTCTAGGGAGTATGATTTTATTAAATTTCTATGCCACCCTTATTGGGGGAGAATGGTTTGTCTTGTCTGTCCACCTGTTTGTTCTCTGCACGTTTGGATGCCTCTTGAATATAATGTTGCTAAACATGGCATGAGGGTTCCAAGGTGGGGCTGACGCACTTCATCCATGCTTGGACGCCCATTGAATCAAGATGACAGGCCAAAATGTTACTTTGCCATGATTTCTCCCACTTTTTGGACAT